GGAGAGAAGGGAGCAGATCTGTCCTCTCATGAGCATGTTCTTAATGGTCTATTTCCGTAAGCTGGGTCGCTGCCCCCTTGGGTGTAGGGTGAGTTAACTACATGAGTCAGCAGAGAAGGTGGGGAATGACCATGCCCAGCTGGCTACAAACAGCTCTACCACCAGAAGATGGTCTTTTCCCTGCAATGAGCTGTTAGCCACTACCAGTTCTTTGTGAAATGGGCTTCTCTGCTTTTTGCTCAGAGGCTTGCTTGGCCATACGAAGCCAAACTGCAAGTACTCATCGTTAGCTAACTGAAAGGAGGGTGCAGAGAGCTGAGTCTCTTTAACCAAGTAGTAAGCGATAGGACAAGAGGGAATGGCCTCAAGCTGCCCAGGGCAGGGTCAGGCTGGCTCTGAGGAAGGATTTCTGTGCAGAAGGGGCTGTTGGGCGTTGGAATGGGCTGCCCAGGGCAGGGGGGAGTCCCCGGGATCCCTGGAGGGGTTGAAGAGTCGGGCTGAGCCAGCGCTGAGGGATCTGGGGGAGTTGGGAACGGTCAGGGGGAGGCTCATGGTTGGGCTGGAGGAGCTGCGAGGGCTTTTCCAACCCAGATGATTCCGGGATTCTGTTACCTCTCACAGTACAGCCAGCTGAGCTGGCTTCCCCTGTGTTGGGATTGCCTGTCACTGAAATTGTTCAGCCATAACTTTTTGTCACCGTGGTTTTGTGGACTAAGATTTCAGGGTACAACAGACTAAGTCTTTGGACATTCATACTGCTTTTAGACAAGGTGGCTTGCATCCTGTTGGAAAGCAGTGTGGTTTCTCGAGGCCTCCTGCCTTAAAGTGATGCCTCAGAGTGTAGTTTCAAGGTTTTTATTTGGAGACTTATTACTCTTGTCCTTTCTAGACTAATATCAAAGATCTGGAATCGGAGGTCAGCAGTTTGCAAAAAGAAAAGGAGGAGTTGATCCTTGCTCTGCACATGGCAAAGAAGGATGTCAACCATGCCAAGTAAGCCAACTACATGAGCTGTGTGGCTTAGAGCACTGAAAATTGTGTTAAAATTCACGGTCTTGCACATTTACTATTTGTAAAAGCTCTTATTTTGATGCAAACGCATCTCTTTAACATGCCTTGGGAGTTGCATGAATCGCAGAGAAGCTTGATAGTGGGCTTTTGTCAGTGGGGAAGATAACTGCTTCATTTTTCATGAGGTGACTCTAAAGTCGGGGAGTACTTGTTTGACAGTAACTGGGGGGACTTTTTGAAGTGTGGTCTTTTTTTTTGAATTTTTTTTTTTTAACAGGCTGAGTGAACGGCGTCGGAAAAGACTTCAGGAGTTGGAGGGGCAAATTAATGAGCTGAAGAAAAAGCTGAATGAGCAATCGAAGCTCTTAAAGCTGAAGGAATCTACAGAACGCACTGTTTCCAAACTGAACCAGGAGATCAGGGTAACTAACCTTAGCATGGAGTTCTCAGACTTGCTCCACTGTAGATAAAGCAGCTTCCAGACAGAAGACAGTCACTTTGGTTTTTAGGCCGAGAACACCAGGTTTTGGCAAGACTCCTTACTGTAATACAATAGGCAGGTGGCTACTGAGATTGCAGGGATAGAAGTCCAAAGTGTTTTCTAGCTGTCCTGATAATTTATTGCCTCAACTGCATCGCTTGACTTCCCTTTGATTCGATGTGTGTACTGTGCATGTGTTAGTCTTCCCTTTATGCCTTAAAAGGTTAATTCCTGGGTTTTAGGACTTTGAAATCGTCCTTAGGCGTGTCCTCTGAGTGGGCAGCACTCTGTAGTATTTCCTGCCTGCCACCCCCTGCCCCTGACAGACCCGCTAGGGAAATGTAGGTTGAAACTACCCAGAGTGCAAATCCTGGACGGTTCTTCCAGCCTCTTCTATTTTTCAGGAAATGAAAAGCCAGAGGGTGCAGCTAATGCGCCAAATGAAAGATGATGCTGAGAAATTCAGGCAGTGGAAACAACAGAAGGACAAGGAAGTGATCCAGCTAAAAGAACGGGTGAGCAAACAATAAGTCCCCAAACTGTACCTCCCTCCGAGGAGTGAAACAAATCATTAAAGCGTTTGCTGCAAGGCTTTGTTTAACTAGCAAGCATCTGAAACCTCTGGGGAGCGCTTTGAAGATAATGTTAGTTCATATGGCTGCCACCTTTCGTCAGTTGTCGTAAATGGGCTTGCTTGCTTATCTCTGGAGATCTTAGAACTCTCAACACAGTTGTCATGATACAGCTCTGAAGCAGAAGGCAAAAATATTTTTAAGTATTAAACGTTGTAGGGTTTGGCCACAGAATGGGAGGTATGAACTTTCAAAGGAATATTGGATCTGCAGGTAAACAGCATTGATAATGAAATCCAGCTGCTTGTAGCAGTCAAGTGTAATGGGCAGCAAACATCTGGACCTCGAGTTCTGGTCTGACAGGAATTCTTACTGCAACAAGTTTGTTCCTTAGTGCTTTGGGACGCTGAGTCTTCAACTTTTGGTTTGCAGGCTCTTACAGGCTACAGGCTCCTAAACCTTTTTAAGGGGAAGTGTGAAGCCCCTTTTAGTCACTTTAAGCTGAACATCTTTTTGATCCGAGACACTACACGGCTTAAGCTTGTAACGATCAGTGAAATCATTATCGTGAATACATTTGCAGAATAGCAAATGTAATTATTCTGTTCCCAGAAGTGTGAAACTGGCCATAGATATTAATGTGACTTTTTTTTTTTTTCCCATCTGTCTTAACCTTATTTCCCTGCAGGATCGCAAGAGACAATATGAGCTACTGAAGCTAGAACGAGATTTCCAGAAGCAGGCCAACGTACTTCGGCGCAAAACAGAAGAGGTAAGGAGCCAACATCTGCTAGAAACTCCTGACCAATTCCTAAAGGTCTGCAAAGTGTGGCTGGAGGTTGTCATAAGCTATGCAGAAACTTCTTAAAAGCAGTTTGGAGGCTTAGAAATAGGTGCTTTTCTTTCTGTAGAAAAATATCGTGCTTCTCTGAGGGACTCTAGTTAAATCTGCTCCTTAAAGACTCAATTACCCTTTGAGCATCAGGCTGCTGTGGCAAATCTGTTACAGCTCAGCAGTGTGAAATGAGCTTGGGTGGTGGGTATGCTAGATTGCAGTTAAAAATTCTTTCAGGACATCTGTATAGAAGAAATGCACCTTGAAACCATCGTTTTGGATGCTGTCTTCTACCTTTAGGCCTAGAAGCAACCTTTAGGCCTTGAAACTGGGCGTCAGCAAAGGGACTAAGGTCAAGAGCTCTAGTCATCGCTTAATCCTAAAGTTGTTCTGAGTGCATTAACCTTACGCTCTCTTCTCCTTGCCTCAGTCTCTGGCTTGCGCTGTGAATGCCTCATGTTTTCAGCCACTGCGGGTTAAATGAAGTAACTACTGTTCAGCTTTTGTGTAAAATGTTTTGCAGGCAGCGGCCGCAAACAAGCGCCTAAAGGATGCTCTGCAGAAACAACGGGAGGCTGCAGATAAACGGAAGGAAACTCAGAATCGGGGAATGGAAGGAGTTGCTGCACGAGTAAAGGTGGGTGACGGTGTTGTGCGTTCCAACGAACAGCGGGCAGGCTCAGCTTTGTTAACCCGGCTGGTGCTGATGGGCTCTGGCTGGGGAGCAGAGGGGAGGGAGATGGGCTTTCGTATTAAGGGAGGCAACGTGATTATTCAAGTTATCCGTGAAGGCATTTCAGAGAAGGTTTCAGTCCTGAAGTTGAGACTACGATGAACACTATGCTAATTTTGGGGGCTTTCACGTTTTTATTTTTTCTTTCAGAGCTGGCTTGCAAATGAAGTAGAGGTTCTCGTTAGTACTGAAGAGGCTCGGCGGCACCTTGCAGACCTGCTGGAGGACAGAAAGATCTTGGCACAGGAGCTCCTTCAGCTTAAAGAGAAGAAAGAGGCTGGGGAAAACCCACCTCTAAAGCTCCGGGTAAGAGAGAGACAAATGCCATTTTCCCTGTCCCACACCTCTGGCTGTTCCTCAAGTTCTGTCACTTCTTTCCTCCTATTTGACCTTTTTCCCTCAGAGGGTTGGGATGGAAGAAAGGGTTAATGTTGTTACTGTCCTCGGGCATGTTGGGGAACAGAGTTGCTGAAGTAACTTGAGAATCTGGTGGATGTGAGCGGGTCACACCCCTTATTAAGGACTTGATGCTTTTGGGAAGGAGCAATGGAATTTAAGCTATGAAGAGATACTTGGAGACATTTATAATAGTGTGGCTCCTCTTTGCTGAAATGTCTGTGTGTGAAGGGCCAGTCTTGTTCTTGTTCTTCAATTTCTTCACCTATTGCTGCAATTCTTTAGAGACGCACCTACGCCGTTGAAGACTGGCAGGCATCAGAGATGGACCTTTCCATATCAAAGCAGATAGAAAGCCTGGAAACTGAGATGGGGCTCAGGTAAGGAGTACAACTGATTTGCACAGCCTTGCTTTCATTTGTGTTTTTTTCCCCTCACCTCTATCTACAACTGTCCTGTGAAACAGACAAAGAAAAATAACTTAAACACTGGCACTAAAAATAAGACCATGTGGTTTTTGTGGTTTGAATTTTTTCGAAATGTGAGGCTATGACTGTCACTTAAATTACTTTTCTTGCCTGTGAGTGTCTCTGCATGAGGAAACGCTGTGCTTTTGGTGGGAAGTGTGGAGGGGAGGAGACACTCCCAGGTACAGCATTGCAGACTCCAGCTGCTCGACTGAGCAGTCAAACTTTGAACTTGAACTATTTTGTCTAAAATCCTGGTAACAGTCATCTTAGCCCAGAGCCTAGCCCAGGTTTTCTCCCATGTTGTAACCTCAAATACATGTGTTCTTCTAAAGGAGTGCCCAGATAGCTGATCTACAGCAGAAACTCTTAGACGCAGACAACGGAGATCGTGCGAAGCAGCGCTGGGACACTATTGCAACAATTCTAGAGGCTAAATGTGCCCTGAAGTATCTCCTTGGAGAGGTAAATTGTGAATTGTCCTATTTTATCACTAAAACAAAGGCTCTAACCAGGAGTGAAAGGAAGTGACTAACAGGCTGACAGCAGAGATGAATTCAGGTGAATCAGGTTTATTTCCCTCACAACTTGTGGTTAAAATATTCTCCTGAACTCTGTAGATCACTGGGGAGTGAAATCCAAAAAACAAGGAAGAAGGAAATGGAATAGCCATGGGTCTGGAGATAGCAGCTAAAGCTGTGCTTACAGAAGGCTTGTGTGGGAACAGTAAAAGGGAAGAGACAAATTTCAGAAGTGGAAGGGGAAAAAAGTACCTAAAAATACTTCCTGAATAAGTAGGCAGTCTGCAGGGAATCAAGGGGAGTACTCTGAGGTCAGTGTGTAGGCAGTTTGAGATGGGAGAACAAGACGGGGGAAAAGAATAGGAATTGGGATGATGTGGAATCAAGGAAAGAGCAACTGGATGGCAGAATTATTTACTAGTTCCTGGTGCTTGGAAACTAAAGGTAAAAAAAATAACAGGGCTAATATGGGAGAATATTCATTTTTGGGGTCTCCCCCCAAGTACTTGGATTTCATTCGCCACAGAAAAGGAGATTAACCTAGAACTGTTAGCAGGACCTCCTGCTGCCTGTTCTGCATTTCCGTAGTGGTGGTCCAGTGCTGAATCTCTCGTCTCCTTGTGGCTGATGGCCAGCGCAGCCCTGCGGGTGGCTGGGAGCGAGGCTGGCACTCTTCACCTTGGGGCTGCAGCGTGTCTGTCCCGACAGACGTTATGAAATGCAGAACTCGTGGAGCCAAGTGATCGTCTTGCTTTTGTCTTTCAGCTGGTCTCCTCCAAAGTGCAGGAAAGCAAGTTGGAGAGCAGCCTTCAGCAGAGTAAAGCCAACTGTTCAGACATACAAAAGATGCTGATTGAAGAGCGAAACCACATGACAGAGATGGAGGCCGAGTTCCAAAATCAGCTTTTGGTGCAGGAACAACACCACCAGGAAAAGGTAAAACAGAAGTGATAGAAATCTTGTGTCTTGAGTTTGTGTCTTGAGACTCTGATTCCTAAATCTGCTCAGAGATAAAAGGCCGAGGGGATGTGCTGAAACCAACCTGTCTGTATGTCTGGTCAAGATTTGTTATTCTTACAGAGGGTTAACAAAAATCTCCCTTTTAGTCTTTTGTCCCGTGCAATTTTTGTCATTCAATAACTTTTCACAGTGCTTTAAGTGAGGCTATTACACCTGAGCACAAGGTAACTTTTAAAGTAGATCAGGGTGGAATCAAAGTGGCAGTAAAAATCTTTCTGAAATTGTCCCAGCCTTTGATGCCTGGGCTGCCAGATGTGTCTTTAGGAATTCACACCCACTTGCTCTATTAATTCGCTTTTAGGTTCTGTACCTGCTTAGCCAATTCCAGCAAAAAGAAGCAGCAGAGAAGAAACTGGAAGATTCGCTAAGTGAGCAAGAGAAACAGCTGCAAGAGCGACTCAGGTTCCAGGTAGAGTGTCTGGATGTGGCTGGGGGGAGGCTGTGCTCACAGGGCTGTGAACTTGGAGCGGTGACTTTAGAATGAGGAAGGTGCTGAAGGATTGAAGACCATCTCTATTTGTCACCAAGATTGTTCAGTTCGGGTGGGTGCAGGGGATAGTTGCTCTTGAATAAGCCTGTGTGGGTTTTTTATTCTTATGTATTTTTCATTAAATAGACATAAACACAGGAGTGAGGCCTGCCACAGTCTGACCAGCTCACACAAACTTGCCCCGTGCTCAGAACACCGTTGGTGCGGGCACGGAACGGGCTGTTGGTGCTCTGCTGTGCTATCAGCAATGGAGGAGCTTTAGCTTGATTGTTACAAGCTGCACCTTGTCTTCTCACTAAGAGAATTAAGTGGTGTAGCAAGCTCCTGGGGAAGGGCGTGTTTAGTGATGTAGTAAAGCAAAATCGGTCCCAGGTGCACCTAATCTGGAGATAAACCTTAGAAACAGAGGGAGCTTTAGATCTTAGATGGTTGCTCTGAAAGGACTAAATTCTCTCCACTGTATTGGCAATGCCATGCCTAAAACCAGGTAGCTTTCCAGGTAGCACTACTGACTTTCCTGATCAGTCAGAGCTGATCTCCTGTTGGAGAATCTAAAGCAGCCCCTTTGATCTCTCAAGAAAGATCCAAATAGAAAAAATCTGTCCTAGACAACTCTTTGTGCTACCCCCACATAAACCTACAGATTTCACCCTGCTTTGCCAACAGGAGGAAGAGCTGGAGAAAATGAGGGAGATCTGTGAGAAGAACCAAGAACTTCTCCAGGAAAATGACACTCTTAAACAGGTAGAGATCTGTACAGACATCGGTTGCAAGAGCTTCTTGACAGTTGGGTCAATGTATTTTTGCAAAACTGACTGGTTTTGTCCTCCTTAACAGAAACTGCTGCTCCTTCAAGTTGCCAGTGGACAGAAGCTCCGTCACATTCAGAAAATTCCATCCGAGTCCCCAGATTCTTCTTTTGATTATATTCCACCCAAAGTAAAGATTCTGCAGTTTTCATGCTTGTGTTGTACCTGGGTTCTTTCCAAAAGTTAATGTTGGTTATTAATAATCGATTTCTTTCTCCCAAGTTGCTCCTTACAGAGCACGTTCTGCTTTTTGAAGTAGGCCTGTTCTCTACTTCAGACACTCCTTAAGGTTTCTGTCTTCAGAATACTTCTGGAACTAGCTTGCACTAGTTTTTAGATCTTTTTTTAAAAAAATAAAAGGTCAACAGAACCCCAAATTTGTTTCCTTAGTCTAATTAGGTCCAACTCTGTGGTTTTGGTAATCCAGGTGTCTGTAGCATTTCCAATCTCTGAATCATGGAGCAAGGCATCTGTCACAGAAAACTTAATCATTGCCTTGCAAAAGAGCCAAATCTTAGTGCTGGGAGGAATAAATGCTTTAAAACTATTTTGTCAAGACTGTGACACAAATCTGTTACATTTCCAAGGATTTGTCAACTCTGGCAGTTTAAATTTGACTGATCGACTTTTTAATGCTATTTGATTATTTTACTTTTCAATCTCTTCCCTAACCCTGCAGCCACCTTGGCTAGCTGAGGGGGCTGGAGCTGTGGTGGTGGGACTCTGAAGTGCCTTAATAAAATGTAAAACCCACTGTTATTTCTTCTGGGGCCTCAACCCTTGTACCTTCTGTGTGTAGCCAAAGACTCGCCGGCAAACGTCAGCAAAACCTCGTGCACCGACCCCAGAAGTGGATGTGGAAGAGCTGTTCTCTGACTCGGGGGAGTCCGGAGGGGAGATGGAGGATGCAGACTGGGTTCCGGTTAAAGCAGTCAGAGGAGCAAAGAAAAACATGATGGGGGTAAGATGATCCAGTTATCTTTGACTTGTTATTACCTACTAGGGAATCACTTGCCTATATCCCTGAGGATCTCGTATGTGTACAGAGAAACAGCGAGATTGGTCTGAAAAGCCTTAATAGGATAGGACTGCTGGCCTTGGTGATTTATGATCTGACAAAGCAAAAGCTGCCTACAGCCATCAATAGCTTCCTAAATACTCTTTCACTGGCCAAATCATCTCCTACAACAAGACACTCATGTTCTGCCTTGCTACCTGTGGCTGAACCTGGCTTATATGTTTCAGCAGCAAAATAGCAAGCCCTAACAGCAGCTTTATTCCTTCATGGAGCTCCTTTTAGCGGGGGAAAAAAGGGATGTTCTGTCACGTCTCCCTGTGTCCTGTTCCCGCTGTGGTGTACTGTGGCTCCCAGTTGTGGTGGAAGCCTCAGCTTCCATCTTCTGTGTGTCGGCCTGGGCCTGGATCTCCAGCTCTCTGCTTGGTTAATCCCTGATGGGATGCAAGAGATGACTTGAATGTGCGAAACCCAAGTTGCTGGGAACCAGTGGGCCCCTTTGGGCTTAAAACTTCTATAAAGCTGCACCTCTGTTGTGAGCCGTGTTCTTCTTCCCCTTTCACAAAGGGGTAAATTATTGTGTGTTTCACTACTGAGCGACTGAAAACCTCAGCAGTTACCACAGAAAAGCTTATGGATTTTAAGGTCGAGTTTTAGTTCCTCTCATTGGAGCTTAACGTGATAAATTCTGACCTACAGTACTATTAGCGGTTTGGGAGAATTATTTTTTTGGGCCATGTTGCAGGAAGAGGGAAGGGTTTGTGCTTGGCACTTGGCTCTTCTGAGTTCCTTTACGTAGCCCAGTGGAACTCCAGTGCAAGTTACTGCTCGGTGCAGAGCCGTAGCTTGGAGCAGCTGGTGCATGTGGCCTGCTGCTGCTTCACGTACCCCGAGTAGCAAAGATTCCCTGAAGAAGTTAAATGGTCTCGCTGGAGGGCCCTCGCTGTGGTGACTCAGGTTTGCTTTCTGGTGTATAAATCTCGGCTTGTTTTACAGCCACGGAAAGCAGCATCCTGCCGGATAACTTGCAGTCGGATTATTTTGGGGATACTGAAGCAAGAGTTGGCTCTAGGTGGAAAGACCTTGTTGCTTTTCCTGGTGTGCAGGAAACAACAAAAGGTTCCCGGCAGCCTGGGGGCTGGTCCTGTCCTTTAGGTGCTGACAGCTGTGGCAATCCAGACGCTGTCTAGAAAACCCTGCAGCTCTTCCTGCACAGAACTCTTCTCTCATTTAGTGCTCGTGCAAGGGCCGGTGTGGAAACAGGCAGTGTGGCTGCAGGAAGCAGAAGGTGGGCTGCACTCAGCGCTGCAGCTGCGACTCGGCAAAGTGCAGAAATAGAGACCCCGGCGTGCGGGTGAGTAGTGCTGGGTCTGTGGGTGCCGGAGAGGAGTGCGGGAGCACTTACACTGGCAGTGGACAGGACCAGTCTGTGAGCTAAAGCTTAGGCACCTCTGAAATACTTGTAAATGTTGCTGTAATTCAGGGTTTATCTATGGTAACTGAGTACAAAGTTTTCTGCTGCAGTACCAGGCTCTTGCACTAAATACGGGACACGGTGCAATTTCCTAAGTCACACCGATTTACCTACTGCCAGTTGTCAGCCACAAATCTGAGGACAAACAATTTAAATCTTATCTTTTGCCTCTGGTAATTAAAAATTGTATCTTTAGCTTCAGACGGCACAAAAACTTAACTAATTTTCAGATGTTATCCCTTCCATTCTTTAAAAAAATATTTGGGGAGGGGGGTTTGGCATCAGAGGTTCATGACCAACTGATGCTCGTTAGAACTCTTGCTGAAAAAGTCTGCCTTGCTCTTGGATCTTAGAGGTTTGGAGACCTCCCATTAGTAATTCTTTAATTATTAACTATCACATGAAACCAAGTTGCCTGACAGGCATCTTGTACTAGGAATTAATCTGCAGCTGGAGAGAAGGGGGCTCAGGGACCCCTCGTATTTCTCCAGCCGTTAGGGAGGGGAGGGATGGATATTGTACAAGTGCTTCAAAACAGTACTGCCCCTCAGGATGCTGTGCTGTGTGAGGACCAAACAAGGGACTCGGAAGGTTCCTTCAAACTGGAAGACCCCACTGAAGTGACAGCAGGAGAGACCTTCTTCCAGCCTGTGTGTGTCACACCCACAACAAAGGTACTGCCCCAAGCTGTGAGGATGAACAGTGGTGCTGAGCCCCAGCCTTAAAGAGAAAACCCCAGACAAGAAAATTTGCAAGGAAATTCTGAACAGATCAGCTTTCAAGCCAGCTTGTATTTAAATCTTGAGTCTGCTGAATTCTTAAGTTTTTGTGGCAAAGTTATAGTATGAAAAATGGATTCACTTTTAGACCTTCTGCACGCTATTCCTGCTGTTGTCTCTTCCTGCTCAGCCCATGAATTTCTAATTACAATTTTGACTTAAGGAATTAAGCAACTCTCTAACCCTAACCCTGAATCAGGGCACTGACCAACCCCAGAACCTTCTTCCTTGCTCTTCTGCCAGGTCCTGAAAGACATCACAGACCAAGACATGTTAGTGAAGAAGCCCAGCGCTGCTGCTGCTGCTGCTGCTTCCCTGCCTGTGAGAGATGAGGAGTCCCAAGAGAACCAGGTACTGCTTGTAAAGAAAAAGAAGAGAATGCTGAGTAGCAATGGCAGCTTCTTCTCGGGTTGCACCCCGATCAAAGAGGAGCATAACTGAGCCTGGGAGAGTCTGCGTTGTGCTCTGCTTCCTCGGACCACGTTGCTGGTGACTTCTTGAAGTGTTGGGATCTCTTGCAGCAGCTTCTGGTGTTGGCAAGGGAGTCAAACACTACTTCCTGCTAGATCATATCCAATTCTCTGTAAATATTTACATGTGTGGTCTGGGGCCAAGGGTAAGGAACATTTTCCTCTAGGATTTCTGTAGTGAGTGGAGGTGATTTATCCAGGTTCCCCATTCCAGCTGCCTTCCTCAGCCTGAGCTGTGAAAACGCTGGGTACAGCCACATCCGTAATCTTGACAGAACTTCGCATTTGCACTGGAACTGCGGGCACTGACTCTTCCAATGCAGCCTGAGGAACTGTTCCAAGCTCCTCTGGGAGCTGGGCTGGTGCTTGACCTCCAGGAGGCACGGGATAGTCTTAAATTAAATACAAAGTGGTCCCTTTTGGGTCTGTGCTCGATGAAGTTAACCTCCTAGCCCTCTGTGAATATTGTAGTCATTTTAACTTGGTTTTGTAGCTTTAATAAAGTAACTACTAAAAACCTCTGATGTTTGGTTTTGCATTATTGGGTACAATAGACCCCACAGACACTCAGGGCTTTCTGCAATAAAAATAAGTTACAGAACTGTTGCAGCAGTTGCCATTTGTCTTCTGTTACAAATAGTAGGATTCTGTTCTTGCTGCTCAGTCCTAATTTCTGAGTTGCAGTGTGAAGAAAAAAAATTTTTTTTTTCCTTCTACTGGTATTAGTGAGGCCTTTTCCTTACAGCTGGATGCTGCACTAGCACCGTACCTTGGGGAGCCCTCTGTCTTCTGCTGGGCCTTGGTGCAATATTGACCATTCTGTGCCTCCCCCCTGCCCTGGGCAGCCCCTTCCAACGCCCAACAGCCCCTTCTGCACAGAAATCCTTCCTCAGAGCCAGCCTGACCCTGCCCTGGGCAGCTTGAGGCCATTCCCTCGGGGCCTGGCACTGGGTCCCTCCCCTCTGCAGCCCAGGAGCTGTCAGACCTGCCTTTACTAAACACCAAAGGCTGACTGACAGCTTCCTCCCAAATACAATTAGTATTAATGAAGGAGCAGAGGAGTTTCCTTTTGCTCTTACAAGGAGGCAGGAGGGGTCAGGGCTGAGCAGGGCTCCTGGTGGGCTCTGCCTGACTGAGCCGAGCTCAGGGGTGCGTGTTGGGATCACAACCCTCACACTTCTAACTGCAGGCCTCCTTATACTTCCCAAGCATGTAAAGCTCCCTGAGGGCTGTAAGATGTTTGTTTCAAAGCAATTTAAACAAGCTTGTAAATCACAAGGATAGTGTCTGTGGATGTGTGTAATAAAAAAATGCATGTTACCTGGTGTGTGTGTGTTGTCAAATGTTGGGTGCTGTGTTACAAAAAGGGTGTCGGAGACTGTCTAAACACCTGTCTCTGCAGGAATGTGTGTGTATATATATATACAGCCATATGATATATAAAGGGTGGCTGGTTCTGTGCATGCATAATTAACTCTTACAGAGCTATATACACACACACTATATTCTCTGTGTACTGGGTATAGATATATAAAAGTGCACAATATGTATTATTGTATAATATATAAATACATCTAGATATGTAATATATAAATATTCTCTGTATACTGAGTATAGATCTATAAAAGATGTTTAATATATATTCTCTGTATACTATATATATAAAACTAGGTATATAAAGGTGTACAAGTGATACACATGTGCACATGTATGTACATACGTGTGTGTGTATAAAACCCCCAGCAACTTTCCCCTTGGCCGAGGCACTTACCCTGTTACAAACCACCCTGCCTGGTTATTGTTTCAGATATAAAACCACATTCAATTTATTCGGTCTTTAGCAGAACAGACTGGGGAGCCCGCCACGGCCCCGCGCAGCCAAGCTCCGGCGCTTCGCTGGCAACACGAAGTGACAGACAGAGGAGCGGCTCGTCAGAAATAAATAAAGAACAAACCTTGGCTGGGATTTTACCTCTTCCCTAACTTTTGAGCGGTGGGTACTGGCTCCAGCCAACAGAAACCCCTGTCTGCGGCAGCCCCTCCTCTGCTGCTCAGAGAATCCTCACACGGCCTGGAAACAACAAATGTATTTGGGGAAAAAACAAAAACGCTACATCCCGCCTCGCCCAGGACTCTTTTTGTGGTTATTTGAAATGAATATCTAGGTCACACCACTCCACAGTTTCTAAAAATTCTTTTTGCTTGGCCCAGGGCAGCACCCGGCTCACCAGACACGTCTCTCAGCAGTAAGGTGAGAGAGACGTGAAGGCTGTTCTGTGGGGTGCTGGCCACTGCTCCCCCTGCGCCCGGGGTTCAAAACACACGACAGGCTGCGGGAAAAGGGCAGCCGTGAGCTCATCTTTCCACAGGCAACGTTCTCCCTCTCGCCCCACGCCCAACTGCACTTTAACAGAGTATTTACATGCTCTCCCACCATTTACAAAGAATTCCTGGCAAAACCCCTGTCAGACTCAGTCTGAAGCACGGGAGGGGACCGGACAGTCTCTTCACAAATTATCGTAGTCATCATCATCTTCGTGCTTCCTCTTCAAGGGATTCGCTTCATTGGATGTGTTCTGGGACGACACCATATTTGTAGTGATAAGAATGTTCTTTGGTCCAATTAATGAAGGATTAATCAGAACATTCTGAACTGTCGGAGTAGTTGGTGTGGCTGTGGGAAAAAAAAAAAAAAAAGTTGAATGAAAAGCTTGAAAAAAATGACAGTTGATTTTCCCGCACTGAAACAGAACTTTCAAGCTAATAAAGCAGCATTCCACCAGAACATTCCGGGCTGAAAACCCTGGAATGATCCTGAGAGAAAAGGAATTCAAAATGGGAATAAAATCTAGAAGTTCGTGGCATGACCAGAGAGAGGACTGCTGGCCTCCCGTAAGGAGACACGAAAGATGAGCAATATTAAAGAACAGAAGAGGTGAACGAATTTCCCACATTATTATTATAAATTAATTTCTGTTCTACTAAAAAGAACGCCAGGAAGCGCTGCTGATCTTTACAGCTCGTGTTCTACCTGACTTGACAGCTGCCTGAGAAGACGGGATCTGTACAGTGAACCTCTGACCCGTCAGCGACACCGGGGCACCAACTTTTGTTGAGACAGACACTGTTTGTGCTGAAGGTGTACCTGGAATGAGAAACAACCCGGTCAGGAGATAAATGAAGAAAAAAACAAAAAACAAAAGAAAACAAACACCAAAACACACTAGCAGCTCATACATTTGCTTTCAAAGTGAAACCTATTATTTTCAAAGGAGCGGAGATTCCCAGAAACATCCTGACACTGGAGAGGCAGGAGTCACATTTCCAGGCTACACACACACACACACACACACTAATATTTAAGTGCACAGGCTCAGTCATAAATCTATGAACCTTTTAAAAATTGATTTAATTTAGTGCTATTTCACAGAACCATCTGGGTTGGAAAAGCCCCTGCAGCTCCTCCAGCCCAGCCATGACCCTCACCCTGACCCTTCCCAACTCCCCCAGACCCCTCAGCGCTGGCTCAGCCCGACTCTTCAACCCCTCCAGGGATCCCGGGGACTCCCCCCTGCCCTGGGCAGCCCATTCCAACGCCCAACAGCCCCTTCTGCACAGAAATCCTTCCTCAGAGCCAGTCTATTTGCAGTTCAGCGTAGTGTTACAGCAAGGAAAAAAAAACCTCAAAACTTTTATTTCTTGAACGGCCCCTTCACATACAGAAGTTATCACAAATACAAAATGAAACCAGACTGCCTCTATGTATGTATCAAAAGATCCCAATCATCTTTCTGAAATCAATTTCATTTTTCTCATGCTGTCAAACGAGCTCAGGTGACACCCAACATTTCCTCAGCAGCTGAAGCATGCTTTCAATTACTCCTCACTATTTTTATTTTCTCCATAAAATCACCATGAGAAACCCCAAGTGAGCTGTTTCCTACCTAAGGTGGGAGTGCTGGGCCGGCTGCTGACAGCACCAACACTCAGGCGCGGGACCGTTATTCTTCCTGCAGAGGAAGAGACCTGTTGAGAGGGAACACTCAGTTTAGCATCCCACGAGAAATGAACAGTTCTTAAAGTGAAAAAAATGAAACGGCTCTTCCTACAGAACCCAAAGAGGCTGTTTCACAGCAGTTCTCAAACTCCTCAGGGTGGGAATGTCACTGGTGTGAGCTGGAGAGCTCCCAGGCTGCTGAGCTGGCAAACAGCACTCCCCTCAATCAGGCGAGTTTCTACCCAAAAGCATAACTGGAACATTTTAATTATTATTCCACCAAACACCTAGCACCGAGGCACGTCCCATGCCAATATCTGGAAACTTAAGTTTAACTTTTAAGGTTTTTTTCTTTCAAATGGGGGAAATAAATATGAAATCTGAGACATTCAGCATTTTCCAGCCAGCAAAGAAAATCTTTTCCCTCTCAAGCAGAAACAACTGAGATATAAGCACAAAATACCCTTTAATATCTATACTAAAGCCTTGCTTTTTCCTTTTATAATCTGACATCCAACTTGGCAAATCTGCTTTAACAGTAAAAAAGCTCACAGATTCATTTTATAACACGCTCTGCAATGCAAACTAACCAGCAATAAGAATACCTGCACATCCCTAAAGACCACTGACCTAGTTTCAAACACTCTTTAGACACACACAGGTCTGCATATACCCACCCGTATCCTGCAGACGTGTGAAAAACTCCTAATTCCAACAATAATCCTGACAACAGTGTGGGCATTAGGTAAATCCTTCCCTGCCCAGAGCTCTTACCTTCTTCTGCAAGGACTTCAGCCTGTAGTTGGGAGCTGTCAAGCAGTATCTGTCAGGCGGGAGCCTAGGCCCAGAATAAGGCTTTATCAACGGCAGCGGTGTCTGATTTTTCTGCCTTGCGATATCTAACAAGAACTGGAGAGACAGGGTTACACTCCCACCCGCAGTCTTTTTCCCCGTGTCCTGTTATTATCAGCCCAGTTTTACTTACGTCTCTTGGAGGGGGAGATGTAAAGGACTGGTCAGTTCGACACTGGATTGCCAACCTCACGTCATCTGCATCGACGCTGAATTTCTTGGCGTGGCTCGAGTAAATTTTTGCGTCTTCCAGGATAGTAGTCACGTACCCTTTGAAAAATAAAACCTGGATTAAAAGAAAGAAACCTTCCCCCTCCCGATGCCACCCAAAACACTGCTTCCTCCAGGGTTATTTTGAAAGACTGACTCTGTCACTGAAAGCAGGAATAAACCTCTTAACCCCAACGCAGCATCAAGCAGCAGATATTTGTTGGGCGCCGGGTGCGTGGGGGATCATTCCTCCTCACGTGCACACCCTGAAACAAAAGTCCATCCTTTACATTCCTTAAATACGGGAATATTCATACATTTTCCGAGAACTCTCTGCCTTTCTGCTTATCTACTTTATTTACATAACTCTAGCTTTGCAAAACCACACTACACACGTGTGGGGGTCTCAGGTGATCGTTTGGGGAGTTGCCTCCTATTTCTTTTTCCCATTTATGGCCACGAGTCTTTTGGGGACAATTTCTCCTCCTCAGATGTTTCCCAACTCCGTTGTCTGGCCAAGATGTATCCGCCTTGTCTGAGCCGTTCTGCCGGGCTGCACCTATTCGGGAGGTTAGGATACCTTCTCCCTACACTTCAATCCCTCACCGGCCTTGTTAAATTCAACGTGAATCACTTATCCGGTAAAGGAACTTCTCAACAGCAGGGGAGCCCCTCCCAGGGAATCGCGACTGAAGACCGCATTTCCCTGCCCCACTCGGCGTTTCCCCGAGCACCTCGCCGCGCAGGGGCAGCGCTGCTGCCCGCCAGCCCCCG